TTCCTTTCTCTCCGCCCCCCACCCCATTCACCCACTGCTCGAAGCTGCCAACTCTATAGGAGAACCCGGGCAAAACATGGTGGCAAAAAAGCCAGGAGGGGTCCGGTAGCCCCTTTTCCAACCAACACATTTGATCCAAAGGCATACGCTGCAGCTCACGAAAACTGATGCCTTTCAATCCAATTTCTTAGTCAGAGAAGGGGCTACCAGATTCCTGATTTTTTTTCCCCCAGCTTGCAGATTTGAGCCCTTCTCCAGGCTGGCATTTGCCCCTGCAAGACAGAGACCCATCTGAGGATTAAGTGGGGCCACCCCGAAATAGGGGAGACCAGAGATCTTCAGGGCACCACGTATGAGGCAGGTTGCAAAGCGTTGCTTGAAGCCCACTCCCCCGTGCATAGGTTACATTTAGGTAAACTGCAAAGTATTTACTTCAGCCCTTTGGCTATCTGTAGCGTTTGGCAAAGATCATTCCTTTATTTTAAACAAATGCAAATAGGACAACTGGGGAGTCTGCGCCTTCCTGTTCCATTAAATGTTAACAGATTTCTGAAGAAGCTGAGTTACGACATTCCACGAAGACCCTGTTTTCATGCCCTGGAGAGACGCCCTACTTTATCCCGCACACTTGGGCACTTCCTGCTCTGTCCATCAGCCTCCAAAATAACATCTGTGTCTGGGGAGAAGGCCAGGAACCCCTCCCATGCCTTAAAACTTCTCCATCTGCTCAGGAAGGCATGGTGTTCTGATTTGAAAGAGCCAAATTGCTTCCAGACAAGCTTTGACTCTGGAGGATTGTGGCAGCATCTATAATCCAGTTGGCCAGCTATAACATAAGTTGGATTTATACATCTGTCCTTGTGTATGGGAGCCCACATATCCAGAAACGTCTCCTACATGTGCTTAATGAAAAGATGCTCCTTCCACCAAACAATCATTTCATTGATAGGAATGCTCCAGGCAGGCTCCGATTCCAACTCTGAGGCCCCCCCCCCCCCCCCCAATTTTCTTTCCTGGATCAGTGGCCTTAATGATCCCAACCCATTAGGGATCCCTGTAAATTGGATAACCCAGCCCATCACAAGGGGCTATAATAATAACTGCAAAGAAGGGCAAATGGAGGGGGTAAACAATAAGGGCTCTAGCTGAACTCCACTCTTGGTCATTACACGGACTTGCCTATTCATATTTTTGGCAAGAATACAGAAGCAGTTTGCAATGGCCTTCTGCTTTTTGTTTTTTTGTTTTTAAACTTCTTAGACTGGCCTATAGATTCCCTTGGTCATCTCCAGGGTGAGTCCTAGCCAGGGCTAATCCCACTTAACTTTTTGCAGAGGAACCAAGGTTCGCCAAACTCTGCCCCCGGCTCCTGCCAGCTCCGACTCAAGAAGAGGCACCGCTCAGCCATGGGGCACCTGCTTTGCAGAGGGACACTTCCATCCTCTAGAGCCACCTGGTGAGGAGCTGTGGGTAGGACAGGTGAGGCAAAGGGAGGTGGTTGGACCCAGGGTCGGACTGTGGAAGGAAGTCTCTGGTAATCAGGTACCCCCAAAGGGCATCAGGTTGGAGAAGGTAGTCCTCCGTGGAATGTGCACACGCAGCCCCTTCTTTAACACCCACCCCACCCCACCCCACCCCATTTCCAGAAGGATCTTGAATCCAGGGTTTGTTCTGCAAAGAAGGCGGCTTCTGTCTCGAGGAGGAAACATCTTTTCAAACGGAAGAGTCTGTTTTTGCCAAATGTCTTACGGTTGTCAGATTGGCTGCAAAAAGAAGATAAAAAATACTTCTTTTCCTGAGATGAATCTGGAAAAGTCAAGCTTTTGGCACAGGGTTCCGAGTGCAGACACCCAGATTAGCAACGGCTTGCAAAAATGTCACGTCTGGAGAAATGGGGTTTGACTGGAAAGACAAAAACCCCTCTTAGTGGCGGATAGTTCTCCAATTAAGTAACCCTCTGGATGCGCCCTGCTCTCTGGGCACACCCCCAAGGGCGAGCATCTTTCTGTCTCCAAGCAAAGCCACTCCCATCCCAAGCATGATGGGGTCATCCTAAAAGTCTCAGGCAGGGCACTTCCCAAAGGGCAAAGTTTTGGCAACTAATGGCACCCCCACACACACTTGCAATTCCAGGAACTGGTGTTGCTGGGTCAGAGCTTCAACCACCTCCCCACTCTCCTTCCGGACCTCCGATTCACCAGGTGCTTGTGCGGTTCCTCCGGAAATGCTGCCCCTCGTTCTCAGGCCCCGAACCCCCCACCCAGCCCTGGGGCAGCCCTCGATTCAAACCTCCTGCTCTCCCTTTGGGGCAAAGACCAGCCATGGGCAGCACTGGCACAGCCCTGCCCTGGGCCCTGCTGGGGGAGAGGGGGAGGGGGCTGCACGGCTTGTGGGGGGATTTTGGAGAGATGAATGGCCTGCCTTGAGGGTCTCTCCGGCTTACAGCGCCCAGTTTGCCCTCTCCCTGGCCAAGAAAGCCCGCAGCGCAGCCCTTCCTTTGTGGGAGCTGGGCAAGAGGTGCCCTTGGTCACATCTGATGCGCAGTGCTGGTCGGAGGCCTCCAGC